AGAATTCCATGGACTGTATAGTCCATGGGGTCGCAGAGAGTCAGACACGACTGAGCGACCTTCACTTTCACTTCATAGTGCTCATCATGGGGTTTCAGTGGCAAAGAATCTGCCTGCAATGTAGGAGACTGGGGTTCGATCCCTGGGTCAGGAAGATCCCCTGGAGGAAGGCATGGCAACCCACTGTAGTACTCTTGCCTAGAGAATCCCATGGGCAGAGGAGCCTGGCGGCTACAGTCCATGGGGTGCCAGAGTTGGACACGACTGAAGGGGCTAAGCAGAGCAGCAGCGTGGCATTCATCACAATGCCTCATACAGGTGTTCTCATTTCATACATTCTTATGTAGAACTCCGTGCCTTATTGGGCTTTTTATATGTAGTACTTATTATTCACAGGTGCTTCAAAAAGGCATTTGCAATTGAGTCATGGAGTTATATTTTAATTATTTATCTAGGTTGTAAGCTCTGTAAGGGTTAAAAGCTGAATTTTATCTTTGAGACCTTTACATTCCCAGTATATTGCTTGCACATCCAAAAGTCTTCAAAATGCCTTTGTTAAATTGTTTTTGAAGATGGACCAGTTGTCCTGCTCTTGAAACTAATGCAGGAAATATTCCTAATTCTTTTTTTTTATGATTTTTATAGTTAGAATCTAAATGTCTTTTGAATTAGCTAATTCTCTACTTCATTATTTTTCTTCTCCAGCTACAAAGAATGCTAAATGCTACTATCCCAAACTTTGATGGGTATCATCATGTATTTTCCATCTAGTATATCAAAGCATTTAATCTGTTATCCTTTTTAATCCTCACACCAAGCCATAAGGGGAAAATATCACATTTTATATATAAGAAGACTGAGACTCAGAGAGCTGAAATAAATTCTCTAACTTGCCAAACTGACCAGGCAGAATCAGGAGTTACTAGACTCATGTCTCCCTGAAAACTATGTGTATTATCTTTCTTACTCCACCATAATGTTCTAAGAAACAAAGTAGAGAAGGCGCTACTTAAAATACACTTTGAAAAATATCTGTGATTTTGAAAGAACAGATTTTTATGGTAGGACAATTTTAAGTATCCAAGAGGTATTGATTGTTCTTAATAGTATTTGGGGGTCTAAAAATAAATTTTAGAGGGATGTCAAAACAAATATCCACTCATTCTAAATATTTCATACTAGTCGTCTCTTTAAGATTATTAGAAAAATTTGAGAATACTGGACTCATTACCCTGTCTCTTGTCACTTTTGCTTTGGAATATGGGATCCTATTATTTTGTTATTCCATAACCAAAGTGTACCTGGCATGGGGGAAAAAAGAGAGAAACTTCATCTCTTCATAATTATTTGTAGAATGTTAACACAGAAATTATTCCTATATACAGTTTTGTATATACCAGCTTCTAGATGTTTCTCTAACTAGCAGCTGGTAAGCAGCACAAATGTTCTTTAAAACTTCCTTTCTACTCTGAAGAATGATTTGTCAATTGGGACATATTAATAACTCTGTAAAAGAGTTTTTATTCTAAAATAAAGATTTTAATTTTAAAATAAAAATATTTTTTATTTTAAAATAACTATGTTATCTTTAATGTTGTCCATGGGGTGTTCTGAAAAATAAAATGAGAGCCTGAAAGTATATTCTTTGGTGGATGCATATACATATTTCAATGCATAATTAGCCAGGAAAACATCTCTACTGTTCTTGCTGTATTTTTTTTTCATAGAAAAATGTGATTAGGATTTAAAATCAACCTGTGCTTCATATCACTACTGTCAGACTTGCATTATTTTTTCAATGGTTTCACCTTTGTGTGTGTGTGTATGGGAGAGAGAGAGAGAGAAAGGAGAAAAAAAAAATGCCCCCAAAGGCAAGTTGTTTTCTTGACAATAAAATGTCAGTTGGTCTAGTCATTGTCTAATGCTTATTACTTTTTTTTTTTATTGAACTAGTTTGTTTGAGTTTCCTTCCAGTCCTACTTTTGCCCAAGCAGAAAATGAAGAGGCTTTGTGTTTGCGTGCATGTGGTCATTTTGTTTGGTCATTACCATTCCTGCATTTGTTTACCAGTTCTGTCACTTCGATTCAACTAATATTTATTAAACACCTAAAGTGTCAGGAGCATTCAAAGAATGGGTAATTCAGCACATTTCTTTTCTTTGTGGCAGCACAACTGGTCACCCTCAAGACTGTGGAGATGTATCTTAGCTTTAATGGTCCTCCCATTTCACAGTCACATGTCAGATCTGAGGTCAGATAGATTCAGTTCACTTTTATCAAAGACAAGTCAATCATACAAGAAACATGCCTAAATGATCTCCTCTTACAGCATAGTATCAAAGCATCGAGATGACAGATTGCACAATATGAGTGTTCTGCTGTAGTAGGTCACTGCTTTGCATGTTTTTGCTCTCCTAACACATTGCTCACACCTTGGGGGCAAACACTGTGCAGGGCTGTAGTAGTTGCTTGATGGAATTTTCAAGGATCAGGTGATAAAGAATTGAGAGGCAAAGTCCCAGCATGGACTCCAGCTAGTCTTTGCTCTGTCACCTTTGGCACACCGCTTGTGCTTTTTGCACCTCAGATCATTGATCTCTAAAACAAGAGAATTGACCCGGCTCCAAATTTTTCCACTATCGCCATTTTTTTAACTTCTAATTACTATAATAGGTAAAGGCAGAAATCAAAGCTATTCCAAAGCCCCTGTCACAATACCTAGCACATGACACTGCCCAATATACAGTACATCAATTAAGATGGATTGGACTTCTTTGGTTAAAATCTTGGACAAAATACTGATGTGTAAGATAAATAAAAGCAGAGATATTTTTGTCAAGAGAGGAGTAGGTGGCACAACCAAGTATGAAGTCAACTCCCAGTCCACTCCTTATCTCTGTCTGCATTTCATCTGCCCAGAGGGATGCTATGGAAACCATAGGGCTTTAGGGAACTCAATCTAAAAATCAAAAAACTTAATAAGCTTAGAATTTTCTCTGGCTTGAGCATTCTATGCTTCCTCTGCTAACTTGGAGTTGTCCCATGAGGATAATATAAAAAGGTCTTAACGATGCAGTACTATGCCATGCAGTGGGTGGTGAATTGGAATGGAGAACCATACAACCATCTTATATTTCTGAGTAAATGTCCTACATGGGGATTTTATTATCTTTCTCTACAGATAAATTAGTCTGGGATGTGTTTGAACAGAGAATATTTTTCTCAGCTACTTAACTATAACTGCTGAATTGTCTACTTGTAACTACACAGTCACAAGCTTTTCTAAACTGAGTTAATTTACTGAATAAGCTGGTTATTTTGACGCCATCAGTCAGTTCAGTTCCGTCTCTCAGTTGTGTCTGACTCTTTGCGACCCCATGGACTGCAGCACACCAGGCTTCCCTGCCATAGTTGCTTTCAAAGTTTACTGAAATTATTTGATAACCACAGCTTAGGACCTATGGCTTTTTTAACCTATTAGTGGTGAACTGCTTTGCCAAAATTCAGTGAATAATCGACTTATTTAGCTGATAGGAGAATAAAAATCTGTGAAGATCACTGTAGGCAAGAAATACAAGTGTTTAAGGTTAATCAGAGTGATGTCAAATCTTCGAGAAGAATTTCAAAGTGATTTATCTCATCCTATTACCCCAGCTTTCCTCCCCCCTTCCTTCTCAACCTGGTGTTAAATATTAATGAAGATGAATAATGCATTCAATTAGTTATGAACAAAAGCTGTTGATCCTGTGTGAGGTTGGTCTTCCAAACCAGGACTCTTAGAACTCATCCCTGTTTTCCGAGTTAGGATGCATCATCCATTTGCACTGACTGTGTTTTCTGTGAAAGAAAGAGAGTGGTGAGCTGCCAAAGCAGATTGAATTCTTGAATCCTCTGGTGAGGAGGATATGTGGCTGACTCGGGGCACTGCTGTCTAGATCAGCCTTCCAGTTATCAACCACACTGGCGTGTCCTCCTGGCAAGGAAGGAAGAAAGCCCTCAATGCAAAACCATTTAATTTTTCAGTCAATTTCAGCAACCCTTAATTGGTCGTTTCTGTACTTCCTACAGAGTTGAAGTTGCAGTGGCAGATTTCACAGGGACCTGGCAGGCTTTTTAGTCCGAGAGGGTGAGCAGGAGTCTTTAATGAAGCATCCCTGACTATTTGCCTAAAGTCCAGATTGTCTAGTTTAGCTCAGGATGAAGTATGCAGTGGGAAACCTATCTTCGAGATGCTTAATAGCCCACTCTTAGATCTGTGTGCTGATCATTGATAGACTGATAAGTGCACAGAGCAGTAATGTGTAGAAGCTAAAAATCAGACAGTATATCATGCAAATTAGCAATAAGTACTATTAAGTGTCACAGATAATAGTGATAAAGGGTTCTGACTAAATGGAAGTATCATTTTAAAATATAACTTGGTGAGTATTTATGTGCATGTTGGAGTATGCAGCTTGTACTTGTAGTAATGCAATGCCACACTGCTTTCATTTATAGGAGATGTATGTGAGAAACACTTAATCTAATTACTAAATTATGGATTTTGAGGCAATGTGATCCAGAGTAGGGAATCTAGGAATGGGATTAAGAAGAAATGGACAATATTATGCCCCCCAAAGTCATTGAAATGCATGAGACAGTTATATGTGTATCTTTAATTAACACAGAGAAAATGTAGGGTACCCTTTAAAAAGGAAAACATCGCGCAGATTGAAATATTTGGTAAAGTGCAATCATATATTCATAAGGTCTGAACAATCTTGATTCTGTGCTCAGCAGTCTCATGTGACTGTCAATTTGGTAGTGTTATATTTGACTCATGTATAATCTAATAGCTTTTCAGCTTGCCTGAAGGTACTACCTGCAATATGTGAGTCACTACCTGGTAAAATGCTTTGACACACTACTCAGAGAATGAGAAATATTTATGAAAATAAACTGTGTTCTCTCCTTCAGTTTATGCAGCATAACTCTAAGTCTGTATTATTATTGTTTTTCAGCCCCTCTGACAGATAAACCACCCAAGCTGTTGTATCCTCTGGAAAGCAAACTGACAATTCAGGAGACCCAGCTGGGTGAGTAATTCCTTAATTCTTGTTAGTACACTTTTCTTGTTACAATCTGACCATTACTAAGCCTAGATTGTAGCCTGGTGTAATACTCTGAGCTAAGCCCATGTTTATTTAAAGGGAGAAAAAATTAGAAAATACCAGCAAATATGGCATATTGCATCCCGCCATGCCTGCATTAGGATTAAGTTGGACATATGGATGTCAAATCTCATGTGTTATTTAGATGGTTGTTGAGAAATTAGGTGGTTGTTGAGAAATTAGATGGGCTGAGAGTGTTGCTGATATTATCTTGCCATTTTATAAGGCTTGAATTGGTTTTAAAACAAGTAATGTGGAACTATTTGACTTATAATACCCAGTTATACATTAAAGTACAGTTTTTGAAAATTGGGGGAAAGGGTAGAGATTCATTAAAATGAATGACACTATTACAGTTATGGATAATGTATTTATAAAATGTGAGCAAGTGACTTTTGATTAAAAGACTGAAACAGAAGAATATGGACAAAATATGTTCTGGTGAAAATATCTAGTTGTCCACAAATCTGAATTTTAACATATTTATCTTAGAGTTAAGTCTAGAGTTTCTTAGTCTGACTTATCTATACTCAGTTATACCAAATTATGGGAAATTTCCCCTCTTGTTTATAAATACATACAGCACATTCAATTATATTTTTATTTGAAATATAGTATGCATGTGTGTATATATCATAAACTTTAGCAGAAAATTATTTTCTTTTAGTGGTTTATTATGAAATGTTATCAAAAGTGTAATTTTAGCCATATATTCATGGTTTTTAAGGAATATTTTGTTACATTAACTGTTTGAAAGTAGAAATGCATTTAATGAATACAACTAAAAAATTGATTGCCCATCCCTTATGTTATCAATGTTGTTATTGTTACTGGGGTGAGAATTTAGAACAAGATTGTAAATCTGTCTTCAAAATGAAGATTACAGATCTGATCATCTCACTAATAGCATATCCAAAGTTGTAGTGCAAAAAGGTAAGGTGATGGTTTTAGAGACTATAAAATAATTGTAGTCAACAAATTTCCAAAGTTGGAAATATTCACCAATTTTCAGTCATGAACATATGTAATTTTTATACAAGTCAGAGCATTAATATGTTTCTTTGCTAATAAACCCAAGCCTTTGGATTAAATCCATCTTACATGCAAGTAGTTTTGTAATTGTCATTATTTTGAGGTGGGAAACCACAAGTAACATTAAAGCAATGCTATATATAAAACAAACATATTAAAATCATATCGTGCTCTTTACGCATGCTATGGTATATTGAGGTATATTAGATTTGGTATATTATTAGACTAGGCATATTATTGCTACTTTGAAAAGAAATTTTGAAATATAAATTTTCATAAGTGACCATGTTCATATAACCTTTCAGTAACCCCTAGGAAGATGTATTTCTAAGGAGTTATGCAAAACTATGAGTATCTGGTACCAAGAAGAAGTGGTTTATTGTACTAGTTATCTGTAATGAACATTGCCAAAGTGATATTAATTGTATCCCTGACAACATAATTCAAACAATTTTATGAAAGATGGCTGCTCATTGAGTTTCCTTATATTTTCCCTAAATTTTGAATATATCAGATTGTTCCCTGCCTTCTACTAAAATGTTCTACAAAATGGAATAAATAATTCATAAAGCTCTATTTTTTCAAAAATCACTTTTCTTGAACAAAAATTACAAAAACAAATCAAATCACATCGAAAAGATGAAAAATTTTATGCAAATTAGAAGGTGTGTCTGTATATTTGTTTAAGGAAAAATGGTCATGTCTGTTATCAAAATGCTCCAGAAAAATCCTCTAATTAATTCCTTTATTGTCACTGTCTAAAGGAACTTGAGCTCACTTTAAATTCCAAGTAAACCATAGACATCAACCTGGGACTTATATTCTAGTCAACTTTTGTTTTATTTTCTGACTCCAGTTCTCCATGTGATAAATCATTTACTAGTTTGAGAAATTTAGCCTTGATCCATGAATTTTTGAGCAACAGTTGATTTGAAATAACTACCTTTTAGTGTTTTAGCTTTTATAGTATTGAGGTAGATGAACTAATCACAAAGGATAAGTGAAAATAGGAAACAATGTTAAGGGCCAAAAAAAGGAAGGACTCGAGATGCCTAAAATATGTTTGTTCTTTACAAGGTGTACTTTGATTTTTCACCTCCTTTGGGGTTTGATTTTTGCCTTTTCCAGGTCTGAAAAAGCTATGACTTTGTATATGCTCAAAATGTGTTATCAAATCCTAGGGAAGGGAACTGAGTGAAGAGTCATGGCGGGTGGTGGGGGGATAGTAAGGAGGGTGGCCAGGGTCAGTGAAAGGGAACCTGTAAGTTATGCCAACTTTCATGAGAAGGTAAAAATCTCCAACAAAGTTTCACTGACCAAGAGCTCAGGGGTCTGACTCAACCTTGTCCTAAATTGAGGGTTAACCTCAGTGGTGAATAAAACTACTATGTGCATTAATTACAAGAGCAATCATTAGAAATTACACAAAGCTGAGATAATACATGTCTGATGACCTAACATGAACATCTTGGCTAATTTAAACACATATCTAGCCAACAGATCTCCAGTGTGTGTGTGAATATATAAAACACATTCATAATGACTTAGACAAAAGCACAAAATGCATAGATTCATCTTCATCTCCAAATTCTGCTTTCTCTGCTGTTTACTAGCCATGACTGCCTTTCACTTTCCACATCCCTCGCATCTTCCTTTTCTTCTTCTCAAAACAAAAGATTCTGATAGTGATCATTTAAACTGTTTCAGTACAGAAAGCAAAAGGCACCAAAAATTTCAAAATACTTGGGGAAAAACTAATGTAATAGTAACTAAACTCATATAAAACATGTAAATTGGGTGGTTTTGAATTTCAATCAATATGGTGTTACAGCTAGTGATTATAGGTGGCATCTGTATGTTATTTCTAAATGTGAAAAAAAAAAGACTCTGTCTCTTTTAAATAACTTTCAGGCATCAGCAAATATGTGGACAGAACTTTCTTGGGCAAAAGGCCCAGAAATCACACTATACAATTCTGAAGGTCAATCCAGGGGGTGAGCCTGACTTACTCTTTTCAGGCAGCTATAGTCAAAGGAACCAAAGGACGTACACCATTGTCTTGCTGAACTTGAGCCCTAAGGATGTCAATCAGAGATGTGGTCTTCTTATGGCCAGGAGCCCCTTTTCAAAAAACTTCTGGTCCAGAGGATGTTATATTAATCATTACCAGACTTTCAAAGAGTAGAAATGCATTCCATCCTTGTCCTAGTGAGACACATTATACTTTATAACTTAGAATTTACTGAAAATTATCATTCATTACTCATCTAGATGTGAGAAGTACTTTATTTACATTTTGCTTTAAAAATAACTTTATAGGTTAGTTTCATAGGTTAATTACAGATAGACCTTTTAGGAAATACAGAAAAGAATTGTGTTTCTTACACTTTATATTGTAGAAACATTCTGCTTCTATTAAATATTCCCAGAAAATATCCCTTTAATGGCTGTATGAAATCCTTGTGAATGTCCCATAACTTCATAGATATTGCTGGAAATTTGGGTTTTTCCAAGTTTCATTATCATAAATAATGATACAGTTATCTTTAGCCATACGTTTTCTGACTTATTTCAACAGGACAGATTGCTAAAAGGAAAATTACTGGGTAAAAGGAGATAATTTCTCCAAAGTTTCTTGATACATAGTTTCAAAATTCTTACCAGAGAAGTACAGACTCTCACTAGAAGTATTAGTGAATTTAATAACTTTTCATTTTTTGATACATTGCATAAAATATTATATCTTTATAACATAGGGCCCTTAAACAAAAATCCACTTTCCTTAAGTATCACAATCATTTCTTCCTTCCCCATTTAAGCTCTTTCTTTTCATTCACTGAATATGACTGTAGCTTCTTTTTTCAGGATTATCCACATTTGGAGGGTTTCAAATAAATCTAATCCATATTGTTGAAGAAATATAGAAATTTAATCAAATGTCTGCAGTCTCTATCCATTTTTTTCTCTTGCTTATCTTAATGCTCAACTGAAAACTTCCTCTAGAGTCTGTGTGTCTTAATATAAGTACATGGTAATTTTGTGATGTGCTTTGGGTATAGGGATTGTCAATAAATACTAATTGACAATAAGGTATCCATGTTACAAGGGATACACATCTCCAGATTTTCTGTTAAAAAAAATAATTAGACTGAACTGAATAAACTGTTCAACAGTGCTATTGTTTTTCTTTAATATCCACTTCCTGTTGATAAATTTGTTAAAAAGAAACCTTGTGTATCAGACTGAGTTACAAGGATTCACCAGACATTGCCATCTCAAGGAAAATGGTTGATGACGATATTGAAACCTCAAAGTTTTAAATGTCTGTCCTTGTAAAGGACACACTACCCATGTGACTAGATCCAATTTAACTACAGACTAATTAAAATAAAATGTCACACTAGGACTTAATTAACACATCTTGCTCTGATAACACCATATTATAGTTTGCAGAATTTTAAACTTCAAGCAGACTGAGGGGAAAATGTCCATGTATTATACAATAGATCCTGATTGATAATTTAATAGGAAAACTTTTTGTCATGAAAATTTTATGTTTCATTTTGTTGTTCAGTCGCTAAGTCATGTCTGACTCTAACCCCATGAAGTATAGCATGCCAGGCTTCCTTGTCCTTCCTTGTCTTCCTGAGTTTGCTCAAACTCATGTCCGCTGAGTCAGTGATGCCATCCAACCATCTCATCCCGGTCACCCCCTTCTCCTTTTGCCCTCAATCTTTTCCAGCACCATGGTCTTTTCCAATGAGTCAGCTCCTCGCATCAGGTGGCCAAAGTCTTGGAGCTTCAGTTTCAGCATCAGTCCTTCCAATGAATAGTCAGGGTTGATTGACCTGTAGGATTGACAGGTTTGATCTCCTTACAGTCCAAGTGACTCTCAAGAGTC